CTGCAGTCATTTCAGATGCCCTACCTCACCCACTTCAACAGAGCTATGCTGAATGAATCAGTGAGCAAGAGTACTCCAGAACAATAGTACAGCAGCACCGACTCACACTGCCTGGGTCAGAAGAGCGCCTCTAGGGTCACAGTTAATTCTGAAGAAGGGATACGCATCATTGCAGCAAAGCCAAAACTTTGGCCAAAGAATGCAGTTTATTCTGGGGCCACCAGAGAGTCTCTCTGGTTAAGGTATTGTCCAGGTGCCTGGTCTGAGAAGAAGGTGTATGCAGCCGCCATACTGTTAGCCAGAATCTCCACTGAGTGTCTTATCAAATATAACAAAGGAAAGCAAAGCAAGGTAAATGCCTTATGCATCTTTTTGACAAAGGTGACCGACCATTCTGGAACATTCTTATGTCCACCACTATACCAAAAAACCTTAAAATTCAAAAATTGCTCACACACACACACACACACACACACACCCCTTACCAGTCATCAAATTCTGCCAATTTCACCACCTAAATGACTCTCAACATCTACACCTTCTTATGTCTCACAGTTACCTTCCTGGTTTTGGCTAACACTGCCAACTGGCTCACTACAATAGCTTTCTAAGAGTTCCCTCCCGCACTTTTCTCTTCCGCACTCAATTTTTCCTCTACAGATATGTGAGCGAGATCTTGTGAAGACCACATCTGATTATGTCACTTCCCATCTCTGATAGCTTTTGTTTACCAGAAAAGCAAGTCTCAACCCCTTAGGGTGGCTTACCGGGACTTTCACAACTGAATTCTGGCCTCTCCAGCAGCCCACTGCCTTCATTCCCCATGACTCACCCAGTGCTCAAGTCATGCGTCTTCTTGCCAGTCCCTTTGCCTAAAATGCTCTTCCCCACCCTGCCCTTCTAGGACCATCAGTCATCTTTCAAGTTCAAGCTCAAAAGTCCCCATCTGGTAACACATGATGCCCCTTCTCCATTGATAAAATCATACAATTAAGTAGGAAATACGATGCCTATATAAGAGGTAATTTCTTTAAAGAATTAATGACCAAATGTTAATTTCACTAATTATAATATTTAGAAGAAATGGTCAATTTCTGTCCTTAAAGTTCTCACGTAATTTTCAACAATTAGGAATACATGCTGGTAATTTTGCCTACAGCTAGTTCACAGAAAATAGGAAAACCAAGTGCTTCCTGAGAAACTTGTGATAATTATACATTTAACTTTCTTTCATTTCAGAAACACCTTGGCAAAAGCATAAAGTGAAGTGTTTCTCTGATTGCATGCATTCATAATCATGGCATTTACCAGTTTAAGCAAATATTAGAAATGCCTACTCAGAAAGCTCTGAGCCTCTTCAATTTGTAACAAGACATGCTAGCAACAAAAGCTTTATTCTATCAAATCCATGTCTTTCTCATTTTGGCACGTATGTATAAAAAAGGATGTGGCATTCTAGAATGGAGAAGAAATGCAGCTTTGTAAAAAGAATGACTTGAATGGCACCTTGGATCCTAACTCAGATATCACCACCGTCTCCTTAAAAACGAGTGGATTGAGCACTGGCCTGTGAACTGAAAGGTTGCCGATTTGATTCCTAGTCAGGGCACATGCCTGGGTTGTGGGCCAGGACCCCAGCGGGGGCGTGCAAGAGCCAACTGATTAATGTTTCTCTCTCTCCCTTCCCTCCCCCTAAAAATAAATAAATAAAATCTAAAAAAAAAACAAAAAACCCCCATTAAATAAAGGAAATCTGTAAGTCATTCCAGGGTTTGATCATTTTTGCTATTGTTATAACAAGAAGAGGAAACTGCAGACCTAGGTTTACGTTAAGTAAACTGTAGTTTCCTCTGCACATGCTGTGTGTTATAACTGCGTTTTCATGAGTAAGAGCAGATCACGGCTATTGGAAAGAAAGCAAGGGCAGGAAAAACAAAAAATGCTGCCCCCACCTCATAGACATTATGAACTTAACACTCAAACACCAGTATCAACATATTGAATGCTTAAGACATAAAAGAGCAATGTAACCTACCAGGTAGTTTTTATTCCTAATAAATTATTGTAAAAAGTATAATCATTTAGTATCAAATAATCCATTTAATGGATCACCCAATAAATATCAGCCTTGAATATGGAAGCAACCTAAGTGCCCATCAATCAATGACTGGATAAAGAAGACGTGGCATCTACATACAATGGAACATTACTCAGTCATAAAAATGAATGAAATCTTACCATTTGCAACAGCATGGATGGACCTAAAGGGGGCTAGGCTAAATGAAATAGAGCAGACAAAGAAACACAAACATTCATATGATTTCACTTATATGTGGAATCTAAAGAACAATATAAACTAAACAGAAACAGACTCATAGATACAGCAAACAGACTGATGATTGCCAGGTGGGAGGGAGTTGTGTGGCCAGGTGAAAAAGGTGAAGGGATTAAGAAGTACAGATTGGAAGTTACAAAACAGTCGTGGGGATGGAACATGCTGCATAGGGAATGCAGTCAGTAATACAGTAATAACTATGGATGGGGCCCCATGGGTACTAGGCTTATCGAAGGGTCACGTGATAAATTACATAAATGTCTAAGCACTACGCTGTACTCCTGAAACTAATAAAATAGTACTGAATGTCAACTGTAATTGAAACACAAAAAATAAAAATAAAACACTTAAAAATAAAGAAAACCATGAACACAGACAACAGTTTGGTGATTGTGGGGGTGGGTGTTGGAAGAGAGTGTAAGGGGCATAAGTGGCAATGAAGGAATAAAAGAATGTAAAGGGCAAAGAAAAAAATTAAATTTTTTTTAATTAAGAAAAATATAGCACTGAGAGCTGATTCGTTCAACTGGTGTCATCCTGTAGGAAGGAGATCAGAGAATGCCTATGTTTTTATTTGAAAAAGAGATCCTCATCTTTCCTTCCTTTCAGCTTCAGCAGTAAAAGTCTACATAGAAAAGGCCATAATTCCATGTTTATTTATACATCACCTTTCCTCTCAGAAGCACAGACACTTCACAGCTGTCAACACAACCCTGTTATGACATTATGCAAGAGGTAAAAAATGTTAGTGTTCCATTTTACAATCTTAAGATGCAGGTTTGAAGATGACAGAGTAGATAACATAAGCAAAGCTGCAAACCTACCACTAAATTCCTGTCTCATGTTAAAGGTCTTTACAATTATTGGCATCAAGTTCAGATTTCTCTTATTATATGTTAGGAGGGTATTATATTCTCATTAGCTAGAACTGTAAGTATTCTGAATTGAACTCAATATAAGTCAAAGGTAACACAGATACCTTTTAAATAAGCACAAAGGTGTTTGTGGCCTAAGGCTGATGATTTCTAACCTTGGTGAAGTGGTACTCTACTGTTGGTTTGATTTTAAAATATCTCGCTCTATGCTCAGGTTGTCGCTGGTCCACTGAATGGAATGTGCAATGCATTCATTGCAAAGTTTGTCATTCATTTTAAGGACTACTTGGAAGGAAAGGTGCCCACAAATAAACTATAACATGTTTTCATGCCATCCATCATTAAGACCCACCCTGATTTCAGTGATGCATCATGAAATCAAGGAAATATGACAGATGAAAGCTGGTGCTCTTCTAATTAAAATGAATTAAAAGAAATATTGCTTTGAGAAATTTAAGCCATGGGTTGCAACATGCAAATATGCTAAAGACATGGCAAGGGTTAGGAGTCAGTCTTTGATATTGTCAACCTTCAAATTGCTTTTAACAACTTGAGTACCTTAACTTTTCTCTTTTTTTGACTTAATCTTTATCGTAATATTTTCTACTACCATTTAGTCCCCTTATACCCTCCTCCTCCCAGCAATCACCACATGTTGTCCATGTCCACGAGTCCTTTTTCCTTTTTGCCCAGTCCCTCAAGTCCCTAAACTTTTCATCAGTGCCTAAGGGAGCGAGGGCTCCTGAGACCTCCATTTATAAAGTCAACAGTCGCCCCTGCAATAGTTCCATTCCATGGCTTTGAAACCGCTGAATTGTTCCGTGCCTTGAGACAATGATCGTGATCACTGGATGTTACACTGGGAGAGGTGTTATGTTATTAAACTAAGCAGCCTGTTCTCTTTGAACATCCTCCTCTCCTGCTCAGTGAGACCCTTTGGTATTGGTGGCCTTGGAGCAGAAAAGCATGAAGCACTTTTTTTCCCCTTTAGAAAGAGTTGAAAATAAAATTCCAAGGAAAAATGAAAGTCAGAGAAAGACATGTTTATAAGCACTGAGGAACTGCCCCCTTCATGAGCAGCCCTGGCTAGTTCGGCACTGAGAGTGAAGCCTGACAAACAACAACAAAAGCCAACAGACACCAGTGTGTAGCAGAAGAAAGTGGTTCCATTGTCTTCTCAGCATGAGGGCGGCGGTCTCAGCTCCTCGGCTCAATCTGAATAAACGCTTTCAGGGGAACCGAGCAGCGCGCCCCTTTCTTCCCGTTTCGCTACATCCAAACAACATAACTCTTGTTGGCACACAAACATTCATAAAACACTGGGAAAACTCCCTTCTGACTTTCCCACTTGGTGAGAGCATCTATAATCTGTTCTTCTGTTCTGGTCTCTCTAGTGACTTAGGATACATTTGTTTGCTCACTAGATCCACTCTTGTCCTAATTATAAAAAGTACATGTCCTCTCTAAATTCATATTCCACAAACTTTCTGATAGGATGACATTCCCAAAGTCAAACTTGAAGGCCATCAAATCAGGATCATAAATCAACAGACATTCATAGTTGCTAACATGTATCCTTATATTTCTACATGATTTATTTCTGAGAAGAGCTCTCTTATAAATCCAGTGTCATAAACCGCTGGCTTCAAGATCTATTTTTACTAAGGAGGATGCTTTGGGTGGTAAAACAAAACAAAACAAAACAAAAAAACCTTAAAGAATTTAAAATAATTCTTACAACCAGGCAAAAACCCCTTCAGATCTGCACCCCCAAGAGGGAAAGGGCTTACGTGTTCAGGCTTCTCCTGGTCTTTTTTGTCCGTCTGCAAAAACTGACAGTTCTCTCTTGCCAGCTTCTGGACCAGCTCGATTCGCCCCATGTCGTCTCTCTCCTGCAGCTTGCACATCACCCCTGCCTTCAGAGTTGGGGAAAAAGCAAAGATATACTTAAATCCACAGTCCCAGGACATGACACCGCTGCAGAGTTCACCTTACAATAAGCTCATCTTCTATGTCGCCTGGATTAAATCATGGTTCTGGTGAAATAGCTGGCTTTTCCCAAACTGAAATGGTATCATTTAAATCGAGGACTGCCACATCAAAAGTCTTAAAGTTGAGATCATTGATTGGTCTACTTTAAGAGAGCGAAGGGCAGAGCAAACTAAATCATTTGCTACTAATGTGTGCTCCTGATATGCCACTATTTGTTCCTGACAGCCTGTTTCCTGTTACATAAGCAAAGCCTAGCAAGAAGGTTAAAACTCATGGGAAAGTTAGCCAGGAACCACTCTGGCAAAAAGGGTGAAGTGATACAGAGTTCTAAAAATAACAGGACACAACCTTCTGATTCTTTAGCTCCACCAGATCATTCCATGTACAAACACACAGTTTACAAGATCACGAGGTTTGTTTGTTTTTGTTTTTTTTCACAACTGGAAAGTTACTATGGGTCATTATTGGTAAAATACTTTCAGTGTTGCAGAAAATATAGTGGAAAAGTTTATTAAAAATAAGCTGAAAAATAAAAGGCTTAAAATTTCATCAGGGCTTGGAAACAATTCATAAAGCATTGTTATGCCAAAGGACCCAAGTGATAATAATAATATGAAGGTGGAGGATCTAGGACTGTGATTAGATGAAAGACATACTTGTTATATACAAGTTAGAAAATGTTTCTGCTCAAACTCTTTCCAAAATGGTTCATACTGACATATCGGGACATGATCTAATAAAGAAATAAAAAGTTACTCTTAGTAGAAAGATTCAAAACTATGGAATTTTTGTTTTACCCAATATAACCCACACAATTTAAATGAACTCAGCAAAATAAATAAATACGGAAAGGGGGCCAGAACTGATCACAGCTTCATGGTCTTAACGCTAAGTGCTGATGACACCCATTTTGTTGAGTGGGTATCAGAGAAGTGGGACCATACACACAAAGCAATGACTACATCTTTATTCCCGGGGGCAAGGGCATCTACTTATCTAGGAGTTTCTCTAGCAAAGAGGAAGGAAGCAAAAACAGTCCCCTAAGTGGCCCAAATCATCCCCTCACCCAAGTCAGAGATTTATTTTTACAACATCCTCACAAGAGGTATTTCAGTTTCTTTCCAAGGTTTCCTTGCATACACATCTCAGTTTATCTTAAGATAGCCTGTGTACTCTGGAGAGTCAGGATTGCTGGAAAGTCCCTTTCACACTAGACAAAACTTTGAAACCACTGAACTTCAACCCACAAGTACCAGTTTTGCCTTTTAAAGCAAGTGAAACTCTATTACTTATACAACATGACAATCTTTCAAATATTTAAATACTAATATTTATGATAGCCTCCCTTTAGCCTTCCCCATATATATCCCCCAGTTCTTGACTTTATTCATTCATTCATTCATTCATTCACTCACTCACTCAACAGATTTTATTGGAGCACCAATCATGGCTAAGATCTACCGCAGGTTCTAGGAATATAGTAGTGAAAAAAAAAAAAAAAGTCTCACATGGCGCTTCCATTCTGTAAGAAATGTGGATTCCATAGCACACAGATATGAAATATCAGGTGGTAACATATGATGGGAAGGAAAATAAAGCAAAGTAATGGAGCAAAGAAATGATTGGAGGATTCAGACTGAAATGTCAGAGAAGGACTCTGTAGTAAGATAACATCTGAATGGAGAGCTGAAAAAACGTGAGGAAGAGTGTTCCAGGCAGAGGAAGAGGGGTGCAAGGGCCCTGAGGCTTGGGGATGTGTGGCAGGTTCAAGGAAGAGCGTGGCTGAAGCAGAACTGCTAAGGGAAAGGGGCCGGTGGGCCTGGGGGGAGAGGGGACACTGGCCCAAATCATGTGGTTTCCTTCCAGGCTGTGTAAGGACAGATGCTTTTGCTGAGCAAGATGGAAATCCTTTATAGAAGGTCTCAACATAGGCCTGGCATGGCTACTTACATTTTTAACAGGATCATTCTGTGTCCTGGGTTGAGAAAACACTGCTGGGTAGTAGGGACAAGAAGCTGAAGACAGAAGACCAATTAGGAAATTGGTCTTCAAAGCCGAAATGGCTTGGAAGTTGCGGTAGTGGTGGAGACGGCGAGAAGTGGTTAGAACTGGGTGTTCTTCAAAGGCAGAGGCAGCAGATTTTATTGTTTCCGTGGTATCTGGCCTGAGCAACTGGAAGGGTAGGAATACCATTTGCTGAGATGGGAAAGATCGGGGAGAAGGCCTGGGAAGGAAGGTGCCTATGAGACACCAGGGGGAGCTGCAGTCGGGGCTTCAGTGGAGAACTCCAGGCCAGAGATAGGCATTTGGGAGCCATCATAGTGTAGATGGCATTGAAAACCAGGGGAATGAGCGAGGCCACCAATGGAGCGACCTGAGCAGAGAAGAGAAGAAATCGAGGACTGAGTCTGGTGTTTGGACCCTGGGAAGATGAGGTGTAATCAGAGATGGAGGCTAAGAAAGAGCGGCTCCAGGAACCACAACCTGGCGACAGGTGACGAAGGTGCTTCAAGGAGCTGCTGAAATCACAAAGGCGAAGGGTCCAAAATAACTGACATGGAATTTCACGAAAGTAATCGGTGACGTTACACGGAGTTTTTTTGGGGAGAGAGAAAAGTGGTGGGGGAGAAAATCCTTCGCTTGGGTTCAACAGAGGATGAGAGACAGCTCGCCTCCAGAGTTTGTTATAAGAAATGGGCGCTAGTCAAAGAGTGACGCTGGAGGGGGTTTTGCTTCCTTGCTTGTGTAAGGTGAGGGGCCTTGCAGCCTATTTATCTTTATGAGAAGTCATCCAGGATGGAGGGAAATTTGATGGTATAGGAGGGAGAGAAGGCATTTATAGGACTGTGAGAAGATGCTGGAAGTATGAGAAAAGCAGTCATTTCAGTTGTGAGGATTGGCAAGCTTTTTCTGTAAAGGGCCAGAGTGTAAATAGTCTAGGCTTCATGGGCCAGGCGCATGGTTTCTGGTGCGACTCCCCAGTTCTGCAGTTTTAAGACAAAAGCTGCAAGGGACAATATGTGTGTGAAAGAACACAGCTGTGTCCCAGTAATACTCCACTTGGACAGCCAGTAGGCTGTGGTTTATCAGCTCCTGACCTAAGAGAAGAAGAGACTGAGTGAGGAGAGCAGAATGAGACTGCCAAGCTTCACTGAGGGCCCACTTGATTTTCTTTTTAACCCTTTTACCATCCCAGCCAGCCTCCTGAGGCTGTATTTTTGTTTGTCAGGGTGTTACGAGAGCCCTAAACCTGAGTTAATGCTAAATATGTGGGCCAGTCTTGCAGATGCTTTTTAAATCAATAGGAGAGAGTAAAAGACAAACGTGGTGTTAAGTATCCTCCTTTAAATTAAGAAGGCAAGGGAACTATTCCGAGAAATTTCTACACAAAAATAGTTAGCCTTCTTTAAATGTTTTGACATTTAAAGGAATACGTTTCTGTTATCTGGAAAATTCATTTATGTCGACCATCCAGGATTTTTTCTCTCTCCATCCATGTCATCCTCACAGTTTTAAATATTTGGTCTGCCCTGTGAAGAGAGGACATCAATGTCCCTGCAACCTCAGGACCTGCTCCCTGGCTGTCTATTCAGCAGTGTGATGGATTAGTCCTCATGTCTCTGCTCCTCAGGGCGGCCCCGGTGGGTAACAGAACAGAGGACATGTGGGATCTGGCCAGGCTGGGGTGGACACGGGAGGAAAGCACCCCAGAGCCATCTAATTTGGAAATGGGAACAAGCCTGTTATCTTTTCTCACCGGCACAGGCTCCAAAGACACTAGGCTAAACGCCCCTGGACTCCAACTGGAAGTCTTGCCTTCTGTTTGTGGGTCCCACATACATTAAAGAAAAAAAAAAAAAGGCGATAACATAATCAACAATAAAAAGGTGGGACTGAGTGAAGGAAATTTCAGAGACCTTGATCTGACTACTTTTTTGGTTCTGTGTAAGCATGAGTTTTTAAGGAACTCTAAACATTCTTCGTATCATATGCTTAGGATTCTAAATACAGACTTTTCTTCCTTAAGGAAATATATTTTTATTAGAACCTGATACTTGGGAGCACAAATTATGTATTTCAAACACAAAATGCTAATGTTACTTTTAAATGGGTTTCAGGTTGACTTAATTATTTCATATTTATAATTCAATCTTAAAATTAAAAAAGGAATACTGCTGTCTTGATTTTCTAGTTTCTGCATGATTCCTAAGATGCATTTTCAAAAGGTAATCAATTCTAAGTACTCTCTACATAACACTCATCAAAAAAGGTTTTCAAGGAGGGTTATGAATCCTTCTTCATTCCCTGGAGAACCTGAAGCCCACGGAGATGCTCATATATTCTATGTCATTCTGTAAGGCAGTCCTCTTTGGAGGTACCACACTAAACCAGATGTTTTCTGGGGATCCCTTTTAAAGCTCCATAATTCAGTGATTTAATTAAAAAACCCATGAATTTATTAATAAACTTTAGGAGCTTTTTTATGGCAGAAGCAGCAAGATTACTAACAGTTCTTGATCTAGACTTTTATATTCCTGGACTATTTAATTTATTGATGTGAAATTATTATAAACAGTTTACCTAACACTGCTAGGCCAGAAAAAAATTAGAAGATTAATGTGTAAGCGTCAGAAGAGTTATTTAAGAGCCTTACTTCAAGGTCTACTTTGAAAAAAAATCTGTGCAATGTATAATTAAAGTTATTCATATGATTTTCAGTATTTCAGAAGAGAAATGTTATGAATGTAAATGAAAAGTCTGTTTCTTTTATAAATGGAGTCATAAAAATGTTGGGCTCATTTTTCAGTGGTAAAATGAAACTTGGACAGGATTCCCCTAGGAAAAGCTATAGTGATAAATGGACAACCTTTATGACAAAAGGTGAAAGAGCACAGTTGTATGTATGAAACATTTTCTGCATTAT